TCCAAGTGGAAGACGTCCGGACACAAACAAAATTAATCAACAGATAGAAGAGGGATGATACCAATTCATTATACAACATGAACATCTGTACAAAATAATACACCAAGTACGATGGACTGCTCTTCGACGTACTACCCTTGAAGAATTGTAGGACTTACAGCAGTACGCCTGCAACCCATCTCAGGTTGACGCACTTAAGTTGGAAAATCGTCGTTGAGTTCATTTACTGACCTACTTCCATCATCTATATCCTCCATTCTGAATGGTAACACGCCCATGACATTATATCGTGGAATATAGATGACTAACAAACATACGACGTATCTGACCAACCAAGCGAAGGCACAGAGTAGTTTGCACCAAAGATAATAACATTCGAATAGTAGTTTGAAACCTGAAATGCCTTTATTCGTGCAAGTCAGTCTAATAGTTACCCTCTTGTACACAGTTGGCTTATCATCACTGAACTGGCCATTGACTTTCGTCCCTTCTAACTGACCGACACTAGCATAATCACTGCATAAGACACGTTGGTTCATGGACGGCTCTTTTACTGCATATGACAACACCAACGACGACTGACTGGCACCAGTTGAAGAACTTAGCGGTGTATCAGAAGCTGTTGCTGTTAGACCTTTAGAAGGTTGTTTAACCGCAGGATTACCACGTCTGCTATCTTTTATTATTAGCTCCAGTTCAGCTTTAACATCTGTCGATAGTTGGTCTACACTCGGATCATTTACACTGACGTTCTCACTAGTATCCATACCTTCTGCGACCGCATCTGGCTTTAATTCTGCCCCACGTTCAAGTTGTACAGAACCTTTAGTCAACTCAGTAGTAGTAGTAGGCATTCCGCTAATCTCATCATGATCAGCCACAGACGAATGTGAACTATCGTGACCATCGTCACAAATACCCACTTTACCGCCGTCTGTATGATCGACTTCATTACTTTCAAACTCTTTAATAACATTGCAAAAATGTTCATCCTCATGAATCCTTAAAGGTTTCATTCCTTTTCTCTGACTAGTAATACCTTGTAAACTTGTGCAATCAGAACTGTACATTCACACTGTTACCCTCTTCTTATGCACAAACTGCGGTGTCGTCTGAGACACTCTCCTCAACAATGGATTACCAGTTACGACTACAGGCTTCTTCACCGGACCATTATCGTCACACGATTCGGAGTCAGAACACGATGACGCTAACTTCACATTTAGCTTGCCACTAAACTTGCTCATTGCTTCACAGTTCGCCTTCGTATGCACTTCTTGCAAACGAACGAAGCACAACCGTGTTTGCCTTGCAGCTTGTAACTTATCCGTTGGGGACGTCTCACTAAAGCTGTCACAATCATTAGGTTTACTAGACACCATACAGCTTTCTCGATATCCACTACACTGAGACCCCTTCGTCATAAATGATTGCATTTTGCTCTCTGATTTCTCTATTCCAGGGGTAGGATGCAGTATACTAGCAAACTTGCTCAAAGCTTGGTTGACACTGTCTTTCACCAGGCTCACAATGTCATCCAACCCGGGCTCTAAACCTTCCTCCTCTAGACGTGAACAAACTTTTATGAACTTCCTTTGTAGACGAAAAGGTAATCTCTTGGCAACAGTCTCAAGCACGGAACTTGAGTTCAATTCATCTACCATCTATATACCATCGAATTATCTAAGAACTCTGCAAGTTCCTCTGCATTATCGCTTAACTGTGATCCGTTACCTTTCACTGTCTCGAAAATACTACGGGATATCATATATGGTTTTCCAATTTGACGTAGTATCTTCATTGCCTCAGTATATCCTTCGTCCGGGGGCATAAACTTGCAGCACTGTATGGATCTTGCAGCCACACCAGTGCAATATCTCAATAAATACATTAATTTCATTTCATCATTTAATACAAAACCACTCAGCATGACCTCCAACTCTTTGATGAACTGTGGGTAGTCGGCTGGGTTTCCATCGAAGTATCGCGGTTCAAACTTAGCCAATCTTGAGCCCTTACTATGACTTAACGGTGAAGCGTGAACATCAAACTCAACATGCTGAGCATCATACATATCATTACAATTAACAGGCAACTCATCGTTACTTACTTTTTTGTCTGCTTCCATGGTGCCACGTCCCTTTCTTGACCCAGGCATTATCCAACGTCACCAAAGAATCCAAATTGCGTTGATAATCCTTGTCCAAAGAGAAGCTGGCTGCAGATCAAGTAAGTACACCCGGAAGAAATCCAGAAGGCGCTCCAGAAGACGAAGAGAGGAATAAAAACTTCCCCAGAAGGCGAACAGATGAATAAAAACTGTCAAGGAACGTAGCCCTAAGTTCCTATTGTAATGAAGACGTTTTCGTTTTGAACCGATAAATACTATGTATGTGTCTCAACTGTAAATCCAAAACACCAGTATTCCTTGAACGAAATTATATTGTTTGGCAATTAAAGCGAGACAAAATACAAAGTCTACAAACAAATGTTAAGTACAAATGAAGTTATAAAGTACTTCTATTCGTATTTGCTCCAGTCTTCATTCAACTTGCAAGCGATCGACCATTCGCGCCTTCGAGTTGCCCACCAATGGCTACCAGTCTCATGTGTGATAAGCGGTGTAGATCAGTGTCAGAGGGTAGAAAATTTGAATTCGTCAATTCAGTTACAATTTCCATTGATCTCATCAATAGATTCTACAAAAGACTTCTAAATGTAATAGCTATTCTACAGCTGAGTGTATGAAATCGTAGCAGAGATACTCATCGGTTTTTAAAGATCAATACGCGTACTCGAACAGAGTTATCTTTCGCAGTCAGAAAATAATTTCCACCACTGTCTCTTTGAGTTACAGTGATAATTATAATAATAATCTGGTGGCCTGCTTGAATCACTGGGCTGATGAATTTACACCAGGTTCAATGCTGCATAAACCTCAATCTAAAGAAACTCGTGGTGTAGCTCACTGAGCACAATATCGATAAGAGGAGCAGATGTCAATTCAGACAAATATAAAGTGTTATTACCCTTTATGATCAGGTTGAAGGATCTCATTATGGAAGCCTTTCTGATCAGGCATCCTCATTGACAGTAATGTGTCTGTAGACAATCAGTCCATAATTTTCACAGCATCTTAATCTCTCATTATGTTGACAATTTGAATATATTGGAAAACTTCTTCTTGGAAAAGGAACGAAGAGAGGAGATTGAAAGATTTACTAAAACATTTGTCTTCTAATATCCACGTAATCATGGCGTGATTATCATTTCTATAAATAAATTGAACTCTATCACAGAAGGTAAACAATTTTCTTTAAAGAAAGCATAATTAGTCAGAGAGAAAAGGTAAACTATGTGTCTAATTATACGGTAACAATAAGAGCAGGTTATGTGAAGGAGACAGTTTTCACTTAGAATAACAGACTACTTGTAGGCTGACGAAATAAGTAGCACTTCCGTGAGAAGTGTGGTGAGTTGGTTGTAAATACGAAGATAGTATGCAATAGATGAAGACGATGAGTGATCAAAATAGGAGGATTCAGTGTGAGGAGTGACGGTTGACCAGTTAGTTGAAAGTCGTTCAACGGGTTTGTTGACTGGCTAGTTAACATAGACAGTGTGCTTTCAATTGGAAGGAAGGAAGACTGTGGTAGTAAGTAATTCCATATTAGTTTGTTAATTAGGTATATCTTACAGTGAAACAGTATTATTTACTGGATGACGTTTCTAACAAAATTCATTGTTCATAATCATATCAATTTTCATATTACCCCTACGACAAATAGGAGAAAACAAAGAAAACTATAAAACTCAAGTCTCAAAGTCCTGTGATGCAAATTGATATGACTATGAACAATAAATTTTGTCCGAAACGTCATCCAGTAAATAATAATGTTTCACTGGGTGATATATCTAGTAAACAAACTAATATGGAATGAATTCTCAGAAGTCTGTGTAGAGTTCTCCAACCTCATATATTTTACAGAGATCCCAGTTTAGTAATCATGTCGCCATTTGTGATGTTTACCCATAACTGTTTTCAGCTGTCTTTACAAATCTTCCTTCTTCTCTTCTTCTGAGATGTTTGCAGCCGCGTAACATTCAATCATTTTAACTTTGATTCCATGCCTAATTCCTTTTGTGTTCAATCTTGCTGCCATAATCTCAGGTGAGAATGTCTCTCACTGCATAAGGGCTTTGACTGCTGTCGGCGATATCTTGATTGCCACCAACTGCATCAGTGTGCTCGTCGTTGTCGTCTGGGTGACCAGAACACAGTCGACTCTTGACTATCCAGTTGAATGTTTGCAGAGTCCACTTGCATTTCATCTGCTCTCTCGTGTTTCAAGCACCTCGATCCTCCGTCTCTTCATCTGTCTTGCAACCTGACACTGACAAGCTGTTCCGCTACATTGTCAGTGATATTATTTCTCTCAGATATTGATTATTCCATGATGAACTACTAACTACAGTCTTCCTTCCTCCCAATTGAAAGCACACTGTCTATGTTAACTAGCCAGTCAACAAACCCGTTGAACGACTTTCAACTAACTGGTCAACCGTCACTCCTCACACTGAATCCTCCTATTTTGATCACTCACCGTCTTCATCTATTGCATACAATCTTCGTATTTACAACCAACTCACCACACTTCTCACGGAAGTGCTACTTATTTCGTCAGCCTACAAGTAGTCTGTTATTCTAAGTGAAAACTGTCTCCTTCACATAACCTGCTCTTATTGTTACCGTATAATTAGACACATAGTTTACCTTTTCTCTCTGACTAATTATGATTTCTTTAAAGAAAATTGTTTACCTTCTGTGATAGAGTTCAATTTATTTATAGAAGTGATAATCACGCCATGATTACGTGGACATCAGAAAACAAAAGTATTAGTAAATCTTCCAATCTCTTCTCTAGTTTTGTCTTTTGAAGTCATTTTACTAAATTTATTTTTGTATAAATACGTGGCTCATGGAACATTTGCTCAGAATCATGTCGTTCGCTCTCTTATCGTTGGCAATCATTGCGTTGGTGTGTCCATTGACAGGTAAACCACACTGTATTTCAATGTCTACGTGTTACGTGTTTATTTCAACTCTTCCGTAATTGAATAGAATTCACTTCTGAATTGTGAGTGACAACTGCTTATGTAGTACATGATAGTCAGTGATTTGTGTGGAGATATGGACCACTCCATTCTATCAGATTTATCAGAAGTCGATATGAATATCATTTTCTGATGAACTCCTGGTCTGACATGACAATCCAATCTTGTCATTTTCCTAACACATACCAATTACACGAATTCCTATACATCTCATACATTCCTGTTGCACAAATTGTATTCATTGAGGATTTCAGTTCCATGACCACAAACTCATCTTGATTCGAATCAGTTTGAAACTCGTGCTGAATGTAGATTCTTTGCATAAGATAAGCATTCAGGTGGTTTCTCTACGAAATCATAGATGAAAGATTCTTCCTCACTGTCGACCAAGTGATTCGTACGAGTGAATATTCTCAATTATTGATTAGAATTATTATGTACTTATTTTTTTTCACTTTTTCATTTATTTATACATGCTCCAGTTAGTAGTAAATATGGTAAGTCATTCCATATGGAACAGTAATTCGAGTATTCACGTATTCGTTAGTGTATTGTAATCCATTTGTGTCTGATTTACAAATTCTTAAAAAATGTGAAGTTGCTCGTTGAGTATTCAGTCACATCAGGAGTGATTATTCGAGAATACTGCACTGTCAAACTTTCGTATACTTCTCTCTACAAATCATAGATTGTTGGCCAGCGTCAGACTGTCAAAAATTAAATATTCTGGTGATGAAATATCCTGTGAACATTGCAAAGAAAGGTATTACGTGAATCAATTACATGTTATCCAAAACGATGAGGGCGTTGCACGTGGAGTATCTGAATACTGTGGATATGTGAAAATCGAATTTATCATTTCAAATTTCCTAACAGTGAAAAGTTGAATTCTCATTATATTTCGTAGTCACACAGAGTATTCACACTGTCTAGGTGGTCATCGTGCGTGACTAGTCAGTTGCTATTCAAATGGGGCTTGAGACGCAGGATTCCCGGATAGGCCGAAAAGTACTTGTTGTGGAGTGAGTGAGAGGATATATCAAGCTGAACGATTCCGTAATCTCAAGTAGGAAGTTCTCTTCAATACGCTATTCATTGATCATATCGACCAGTATTATTCAGTTTTATAAAATAGGAAACGTGCTGGCACACATATTCTCTGTGTCACTCATTCTTTGAGCCGAACTAATCATGGCATTCATTCAAGCTAATTCACTGAATTGACTCTAGATTTTGTTATTTTAAAGATGCGGATCGTCTCACAGTAGAGATAGAAAATTTACAATCTACCATCAACTGGTATAGCAGTAAGCAAATTAGTTTCAACATATTCTTAAATTCCATAAATTTGCTTATCGTTTGATGAAGTAATCAAGTTTATGTTGATTGAATCAAATTGAATTTTCATTTGTGGAATGATTGATCATATTCTCTCCGAATTCGCAATTGTCTGTGTTTGAGGTGGTTGGTGAAGCATATGCAGGTAGCATGTAACACCGGAACACTTTGTGAATGTAGACCAATACAGTATGACTGATCTCTAGATTTTCCATTGAAGATCATTCCTGTAGTCATTATCAAGTGATTTGTGAAACAATTGCCATTTTTATTTCACAGACGGCGCTGAGCTTTACAAGGAATTGTTGAGCACTCTTCATCATGATCTAAAGACATCTCAAGGTGCGTTTAAAATCCTGCTTATACTTACCATATTGCATTTTGTATGTTGTCTCTGAATTTGTTGTGTCAGTGTTGCTTCAACTAAATAGTACGCGTGTGAAGATCACACTGTGTCATGGTAGTAGTAGTAGTATTAGTAGTAGTAGTAGTAGTAGTAGTAGTAGTAGGAGTAGATATAGTAATCACCTCAAACTTATCCGATTGTTGGACATATCACAGAGTGGAACAGGTTTCTTCACCAGATGATGTTTTGAGTTGAGTGTGTGGTTTGCATTGTTATTATTCTCTGAGTATTGCTCAATATTTTGTACATGAGCATGGAATAAATAACAGTGGAATGCTGTTCAAATGTGTGTGTGAACTCCAATATCCAGGGATCAGTAGAGACAGTGAAATTGATGATACCGTACAGTCGTTTGTTTATTCATCAGCTTTCATGTCAATAGTTGAGAAGTGAGCAATATTGACAACAGTGTCTCCCTATGTCCAGCGATCATGACACATATTGCATGAGTCACCAGACTGCTCGTCTTTTTCCCAATCCAGATGAATTGGAAACAAGCGGTGGAGAAAAGAAAACAACTATCGCTGAGTGTAAGTCAACTAATTAAATCAACATTGACAATTAATCATTCTTTTAGTTGTGAAATGTCTCACAGAATCTTTTGAAGACTCCTTCAAGCCGAGGTTCAACAGGAGTATGTGAAATATTTTTTGTTCATTTTCAATCTGCAAACAAAGTGATTGGACTGTTGAAATCTTTCGTTAAAAAATATAGATTTTGAATTAACACCCCTTCTGAATATCACACAGATATATGTGGGCTGACGTCCAGTTATTTAAACAATTTCTTTGAATACTGCATCACATGGTTAGGAATTTATTGCATTTTCTCACACTGATTCTTGTCTATCCTGAATTTGTCGTGTATTTACTTGTTTTGTCAGTCATTTCAGACATCATCAGAGAAGTGCATCAGTCATATGGTAAGTACGCTTTCGTAACTCATAGTAGATCCTGCTTGATGTTGTTTGCTTCACACCACAATCGGCGAGTTGTCCAAGGTGGTTTGTGAGGGAAATTCAGTTGAGTCACACTACTGCTCTCGAAGGGTATGCATTAAAGTGACAGATTGTTTTCAGCTGCTTAAGACGCTGATCTCATATTTCACTATCAGTCAGTAGGCCACAACCAGTATACTAGAGTATAAGTGTGTTGAATCTCTGAATAATTATCCATAATTGCAAAGACAGTCGATTTATTTGACAAAATATTGAACTATAGGCCAGATGGCGGAACATACGTGAAATTATCCATTGAATTTGCTCCTTTCGATCACTATGACAGGTGATTCTCGAATTATCTGTCAATAAATATTCTCTTCTCTTTACATTTTGATCAGGGGAATTCTTCGTCATACCTGAGGATAAACCTCTCTGGAAACAATGGCTTAAACATGGGTTTGAATGTAAGCAGTAATATTATTGCTTGAACAAGTTGATTTCATTTCTGCTTGCCTCTTCTCACTCGTCTCACTGAGTTGAACATCGTTGTGTTCTAATCCACTTTATTTAACTGGTAACTTAGTTATCGTTGATAGCATGAGCATATGACTAAAAGACAGATGTGTTTATCTGTAAGATATTTGAGCGGATTCATCAGTCACTGTCAATACTATCCTCTCTTTTTTAATAGATGTTCATAAATCCCCAGATTTGACAGTTTGTGATAGTCTCCTATCGAATAAACACACTAAAGGTAATTTGAAACATATCATTGCTTTTGTGGATGATAATTTCATCAGATTTATCTTTCATATTTCACAGGCAGATGTTTGTTGATTTATTTGACTGTATAATAATTGACAGTGACTTCTATGCTACAATTTTTGCGAGTGATGAAACTATTCTCTATAAGGAGAAGGTCTTCTGATTAGAAAATACGCTAATGATTCTTCTTCCTGCGGATTTTTCACCGACTAGATTTCTAAGATTGTACTATGAATAATACTATTGTTCCTTTGGATTTCACATCAAACATACGGATTTAACAGCAAATCCCCACTATATCCTGCTCTCATCAATTGCTCTAAGCCAGCCTCAAGATTGTCAATAGCCTCTAATTCATTCGTCGCACGATCTTCTCAATGTCTTCACATTCGGACACACGCTCAAGTCTTCGTTTCTTACCCAGGTTGCAATACAGCCATGGCTGGCATTGAGCGTGACTTCAACAGACGCTCTCCTCAGAGTGTGTCCGATCCATCTCAATTTTCTTCTGCATATTTTGTTGATCAGTAGGTTCTTTGTTGGTTCGTTCTCAGAGTTTCTTGTTGCTTATTCTCTCCAACTATTTGACTGATCTTCAATTTGTAGCCAGCAAAGTCAGCTGTTGATAGAATTCAGCTAACTACTGCAAATACTGTGACATACATTTACACATATATATATTTATATATTTATATATATATATATATATATCATCATGCATATATAAAATTAGAGCGGATGAGAGGGATTCAGTTTGTAGATAGACACCGCTTCGATCAATGTTTTCACCTCCCAAATAAGCAATGTTTTCTTCGTCCTCCCCTGTCCACAAATCATGTTTATCCATCGTATACTTTCAGCATGTGTTTCTACTCTACCTTCTCACAGAAATACGTAAGTTGGGAGACCTGATAAAAATGCAGACCAGGTCTAAAGAAATAATTAAAACATTTGCAGGTAAGTTGAACCATATTCAGAGTTACATATTTTGCAAGGCACTTTCAAAATTCTATTATGTCGTCAACGTCTACTCAGAGGTGAGGTAGCACTTCACTATCAGACGTTTTGCGTACACCTCATATAATTGATTTAATGATTGAAAACGATAGGTTTGCAACATTTTATCTGTTTCCTTACATGCGTCGATTCATGTTCACACATCAAGTAAGCCTTTCTGATGACAAACTGCATCTCCTCATTGTAGAAATCAAATCGATTTACGAGAATGTTAAGAAGAACATGATAGTGAGTTTATGTACCAGAATCAATCCACACACTTCCCTATGACAAGTATTAGTCTACTTTTAGTTTATTCTTCACCAGCAAATCTCATGTCATATTCATTAATTTCCTGTGTGTGTTTGGAGACAAGTAGATGAGATGTTCACTTCAAACGAATAACTAAGTATTGTGTGATTGAAATTTCATTTATCGGTACTATAATAAGATGGGAAGGTTTGGCCACTTTCTGATTGACTTCTTTGACAGTTCATTGATATGATTGTTTTAACTGAGGCGCTTAATTCACGTCTAGACGACATTTGAATGAATCGACTGTATAATCCAGCGCATGGACTAAAGCACAACCGATTTGAGTATTTCAGTCATTTGAAGCTGGAAATGTTGGAAATCACTGATTGATTCACTCACTGAAACGTTTATATTTGCTTTAGCATCGTCCTTGATTTTATGTGTAATTACTCCTTCATTCGTCATTTCTCCTTCATTCTTCTGTTCTTCAAGAGAGAACACATGCTACTGAAAAGAAATCGAAAAGTGTCATTCGTGTGAGATGGTCGTATCTATTCAACAGTTTTCAAGAATCATTTGAAGACAATATGCTTTTTCTTTTCTCTTTCACATGATTCGACTTAATTGTTCACAGTTTTTGATAGTCGTAGTAGTAGTGGTAGTAGTAATAGTTGTGAAATATGTAAGAATAATATTAAATATAATAATAAAAGTAATGATAATAATATTTTGACTTCATTTTGACTTCCTTACCACAATGTTCAATGATGGTGGTGTGTGTAAAAGTTTACAGTCATATGAGAACATATTTGCAGGATGACCGAGCTCGTCTCAATTCACGAAATCTCTTCAACCGTGAAAATACTAGACTTAAACAAATTATAAGTAAGGGAATGTTTAAACACACTTTTCACCACGACGTCAAGTTAACGATGGAAAGAAAAGTCAAAATAATTTCGAAAACGATGCAGCTAGACAAATTATCCAGTGATGAGAGACTAACTGTTTGTAGCGCAATAAGAGAAGGGCAGGCGGTTGAGTTTAAATTCTGCTTGGGAATAAGGATTGACTGGAGACTAACTATAAGATCGAAGAACAGAGTGAATTGATACATATTCTGATGGAGAGGTGAAGAGGGTGAGGATGAAGACTAGAGTGAAATTATGACAGACAAACAATCACGTGTGTTTGGAAACCGAATAGTGAGTTTAACTCAGAGAGTGAGAATCGAAATCAAGTTGGACGTTGGGCGATAGGGCAAGACACAAAGCGCACAAACAAAGAGATATCAATTCAACTGCTCGCATTACTTGAACTAGGAAACACAATTTATCCAAACGCATCTTTTCGGTAACTCCTCATCAAGTAAGTGAACTGGTGGATAATAGCCTAGGTGATCACACCATTGATAACATGAGATGGCATACCAATACTAGGTAATACTGACTAGCAATGACAGCTTGGTCAGTCAATTATTGTGAGTGTGTACGTTTGTAGGAGTAGAGGGATACAGCAACTATTGTCTCATCACAATGTTAGGTTTGATAATTAATTGTGAAATTAGGGCGCAGTATGATAATGGTGATGAAAACAAAGATAACAGTACAAGTGGAGATGATATTTACAGAGGAAGAATAACAGGAGCGGAAGACTGTTGTGCAGTAAATTCGTTTTCAAAATGCACAATGATAAATGCAACAATTTTAGCACACATTAGCCAATAAAGACAAGTCAGGACTATATGGGAGTGTCCAGTGTGACATTAGTGAAAGATTGAATTAAAGCCAGTGAAGTTTTCTTGCCATCGAAATCCATGTAGAATGTGTGATCCATCAGAACATGAGATAACATGAAGTTAAGTAATTCAGTAACGTTTTTGTGTGCATATAATGGACGGGTTTCAAGAAGTGAGTGTAGTCAGGGAGGGAGAGGGAAAGAGACAGTGTCTGACGACGCATAATCCAGTCCACCACAATTAGGAATATCATTGGTGAAAATAAGCACCCTCGTTTGACTCCTGTGTTTACCCCAAACGCTTCGCTGAGTTTTCCGTTGTGGATCACTTGACATGTGCTGTTGTCGTACAGCTGTTGAATAAGGTTGATGAATATTTGGGGTACGCCGTAGTACTCGAGTAGTTTCCAAATTACTTCGCGGTCAACGCTGTCGAAGGCCTTCTCAAAGTCTATGAAGTTGAGGTAGAGATTTGATTGCCATTCCATGCTTTGTTCGATGATGATGCGTAGAGTTGCAATTTGGTCAGAACATGATTTGCCTTTCCTGAATCCAGCTTGTTCTGGTTGGCGGAGTTCTGTATCCAGTGCGTCCTTTATTCTCTCCAGGATGATGCGACTCAGGATTTTACTTGGCGTCGACAGGAGCATGATTCCTCGCCAGTTCTTGCAGAGTCCTAGGTCGCCCTCCTCTGGTAGTTTCACGAGGTCACCTTTCCTCCAGTCAGTAGGCACCTTTCCCTCCTTCCAGACCTTTTGCAGTAGTGGAGTCAGCAAATCTGCTGTCGTTTCTGGGTCCGCTTTCAGTGCTTCCGGGGGTAATGTATCTGGTCCAGCTGCTTTTCCAGCTTTCAGAAGCTTGAATGCATTCAAGACTTCAGCTTTCGTTGGAGGATTGGTGTCAACTTGCAGTTGTGTACGTGCTGTTGCTGGTATTTCTGGATGGGTTGCAGGTGTTGGTCGGTTCAAGAGTCCTTTGAAGTGTTCCGCCCATTGTTTAATTTAGTTATCTGATATAGTGTCCTCAGGTCCCTTATGCCTGCTACTTTCTCAGCTTCAGTAGCCAGGTTGTCGTAGAATTGTCTTTTGTCCTTCCTGGCACTCTTCTTCACTTCTTTGTCCAGCGCTGTGTAAGTTGAGCTCAGCGTCTCCTTCTCTTGTCCATCTTTGCATTGAATCATTTTCTCTTTCACCTTTCTTCTCTCCTCTACTAGCTTTCAAGTGTCCGTTGAGAGCCATTCCTTGTCTTGTTTCTTCTTTCTTCCTAAAACCGTTGGACACGTTTCGTTGAAAATTACCTTCAGAGAGTTCCAATGGTCTTCCACGGATGATTCCTCGGTGGTGCCAGGTAGTGCTTCTTGCTTTGCTCTG